GCTATAAAAACTTTATTGCAAAATTACATGCCAATCTTCCTCTTACACAGTACTAACTGAATTTCAGAATGCTTTATTTCCTCAATGTAGCTCATGTTACCAAGATCACAAAGAAGCTGGTTAAGCTCATTCTTACAGAAGTGTAAACCTATACAAACAGGACATAAACACCTGATTATGTCCCCGGTTAAGTATTTTATCCCAAATTAAAGCCTTTTGTTGTTCTTTACACTCAAAAGTACATGGCTCTTCCATAACATTACTAACAGGAGACTTCCTTTCAAATAGTATTCTCAAAGGGAGAGTAAGGGGAAAGGCAAGATGATTTTTGTTAAAGCAAGTTCACATAGATTTCAGTTTACTACCTACTAAACAGAACTATTATTTTAGCTATAGTGTTGGCTTTCAGAGATTAAAAAACCCTATGAGATATAATAACTACTCTTACCATTACAGTATCCCTTCCTCTCAATTTTGGCACTGAGAGACACTGGCCCAGAAGTGAAAAACCAACAGCCAACCATCTTCTCCTGACTTCTTAGAACAGGTGTCTATAAAATATAGAGTATTTTTCATTTAGGGCATGAAGCTACCAATCACTTGGAGTTATGCATCTCGATCACTGCAGTCTAGCCCTAAAATCCACTGCATTTGACTTGCTGTATTACTCAATGCACTGGAGTTTTGCCACCAGAAAGTGGAACCAGGGTTTGACTGTCTGAATATATGACTATTTTAGAATCCCAGTCTGCATTTAGACCCCACCAACTGTGTAACACAGAGAGCAATGGAATGTAATCTGGCTTCAGAAAGCTTGATTTAGCCAGTTCTACAGGTGTGACTTTTTAAAGGGCTAATGGAGTACTGCAGTATTTATGCCCTTGTTCCTCAATGCAGAAGAATGCAGAATTAACTTCAGCTGCAAGCAACTAATAGTTAAGCAGGTGAATTGTTTTTACCGTTGTATCCTTCAGAAGAAAGGATAAATGCAGACACACCAGGTTAAGGTGATGCATCTTCATAACTTGCAAGCCACATAACCCCCCAAAAATTTAGGCTCATGACAAAAACCAGCTTAATTATCCCTGGAGGATGGTCACATTAAAAATATACAGTGTAAATGTCATATAATTAAAATAAACTTATAAATGCACATGTCAGGGTCCAAAGTAGCATTCAAGCTACTTATTTACTGGCACTGGTGCCCAGTCAATAGAATTATGAAGTTCAAGAAGAATGTGTGATACTTTGCACTTCTTTTGGTGGTAGCCTTCATTAAGACAGGCACTGCCTACTTTACATGCCCCATAGCCCTCTCCTGTGCAGTAACCAGTAGTCTACTCTATCCTCACTGTATCTGGATGTGCTGTCTTCACACTCCTAACATACAGTGTTGAGTATAAAGACTGTATTTGCTTGCAGATGTCACAGCCAAAATAGTTCTCCAAGTTCTCTCTAAAGATTAAAATGTAAGCATATAAAGAGGGAAAAAAAGACCCTGCTCAAAACATCTCTTAGCTACACTCACGTCATGATGAAATGTTAAAATTATCCTAGCATTTTAAATAAAATAGAAATTACTCATTCATATTTAAATGAATAACCATTTAGATCCAGTTGCTATCATGAAAGTGCAAGGTATAATTTTATATTATTTTCATAATATGGGTTGAGATAAAAGAATCCAGCTCATTAGCTTCCATCTTGCCTATTTTCTCATTACTTAATGCCTGATCTTTCTTATTACTCTACAGTATTTCTAGTGATTATTAGAAACTCAAAGCTATAATGTGGCCAAATCTGTCATAAGAAAATAACTGAAAAGATCTCTAAAGCAGCTGCATGCACACACTTAATGTTAGAAAACGACATGCAAAATGGAAGGATACGTAACATAATGGCCAGAGCATAAATGACAGGCTGGGCATGATTAATACTCTTCCGTAATTACTGTTCCTCAACCTACTATTATTGTAGAGTTTAGGACACTGCAGCCCTGTGAATGTAGTTGCTCTGGTAAGAGTAACTACTTTATGTTTGTGCATTATTATTATTAAGCCTTATTTATGCATCTGAAGCCTGCATAACTTTTTGGCAAGAGCGTCTCTGCCAGCAGGGATGTAATCAATGGTATTAAAAAAAACCCACTCTGTTTGCTATTCACACAACCTAAGATCATCTATTTATAGAGAAAAGCTTAGGGAGCTTATATGCTTTCAGAAGTCAGAAAATGACACTCCAGAATAACATGGAAATGGTTAGGCTGGATGTGAATGCTTCTTGGAAGGGATTTTTTTGCAGCTGGCTTTGGAGGGGGGAGGAGGAGTGGAGGGGACCCTCTTACCAATAAAGCTGGTGAGCTGACGTCGATATGGCTGATGACCTGAAGCTCTGCCTGCACGCTCTGGTCAGGTGCTGCAGGCCTCTCCAGTATTGCTTTCACATAGTACTCAATACTGCCATACTTCCCAGTAAAAGAGGTCACCAGAGGTCTGAAAAGAGCAGGCACAAAAGCAGAACTGTCAGTTTATCATTCAGTTCCAAGCACCAACACTTCCTGTGTACATAAATGTTTACCAGTTTACAGCTTGTGCTTTCAGGGCCTTAGGGAGACTGAAGCAAACGGGACTTGTCAGTGTGGTGGCTGATTAAGACAGACATATAAAGCTGATCTATCAGTTTGCTATTAAAAAAAGCTGCAAGTCCAGTGACATTCAGCTAGTGTTCCACAACAAGCAGCGTCCAGCACAACCCCTCCAGGGTGGATTGTTTAACTTACTCTTGAGGGAGTTGAAAGCTGAACGGAAATTCATGTCTTCCATCGAGAAGAACTAAGCTTTCCTCACCTGTAGGGTAAAAATGAGTGGTATGTTTTAGTTATTCCATAAATAGCAGAACAAAGCAGACCCTATTATAAATTATTTATGTATAAAAACACCCAGATGCGAGGGACTAGGAGAAGTTCTAATTGATCCCAGTGGGTTCTGGATTGGAGCCCATGCTTTATTTATGCTGGGATGCAATCTCAATGGAAAAATCAAGGAAACATGGAGACCTTGAGTTTCAGTTCAGGACTTCTGCCAATTTCTAATCCAAAATGGCTTCTGGAAAGCATAAAGTAAGTTTCTTTTCCTTTCCAGCAGGAGGGCCATTAATCTGCTTTCGAAATTAACAATCGAACTAATTTTTGTGCTAAAAAGCTGCAATTTGAGGTCAGTATTATGAAATACTATTAATATACATAGTCTTAATATATTCTACTGCTTCACTAGTTTTAAAGGTCTACATTTATTTTTCCCACAGATAAAACTCGAGCTGCATTTCACCCTTACGGAATGAAACACCATTTCCCCGTGATTCTTCATTGCTGCCGTAGTACTGCAGTGTCTAAGTGACAGCTCTGCCAGCTGGAGACTCATCAACAGAGAGCCTCTGCTTTCCTAAGCCAGTGCAAAGGAAGGCCGAAGGCTTCGAGGGGCTTCCACAGGTACCTTCCCTGATGGTGCTGACAGAGTACAGCGAGAACGAAGGTGCCCGATGTCATTTATAAAAGGGCAAACCGCGGCAGAAAACCCAACAGAGCGAGGAAACTCCGAGCTCCAGCTCTCGTTCCAGCCCTGTCCTGCGTGTCCCAGCCTTTTGCACAAAGCTGGGGTGAGTCCTGGCTCTACACGTGAAGGCTGCGGTGCGGGAACGCTGTCCCGGTGGCCGGGCACTGCCTGGGCCTCCCGCCGTTCCTCAGCACCAGGCCCGGTGCCAGGTTCTCCCCGCAGCACGTTTCAACCCCCGAGCACGCCCCCGCTCCGGTAAAGCAGCCGAGCCCCCCCGCGGCCCTACCGCCTTCCTCCTTAAGGGGGGCGCCCGCCCTCCAGTCCCACCCCCGCTGCGGCGGCCGGGCGGGAGCATCCCCGCAGGGCCCGACCCGCGCCCCCCTCACCTTCGGGTGGGTCCCGCAGGAGGCTCTGCCGGATGTCCAGGTACCGCACCTCCGCCTCCCGCCGCGGCCCCGGGCCCGGCGCCCTCACCGCCACCCCCCAGGTTCCCGCCCCGGGGACAGCGCCTGAGCTCTCGCTCCAAGCGACGCGAGCCCGGCCCGCGGCCTCCAGGCGCAGCCCGCGGAGCGGCAGCGGGCCCGCCAGCTCCAGCAGCACCTGCCCGGACACCGTGTCCCCGCTGCAGTAGCCGCCGCCGCCGCCTCGCCGGGCCTCGTCCTCCAGCACCAGGGCCAGCGTTTTCACCGCCCCGCCGGCCCCGGGGCCCTGGCCCGGCCCGGCCGCCGCCATCGCTCCCCGGCTCGGGGGAAGCCTGCGGCCGCCCTCGACGATTGCTTTAAAACCCGCCCGTCTCCGCCAGCGCCCGCAGCGGAAAGTCCCGCCTCGGCTCGCTCCTCATTGGCCGCTCCCCAGCTCCTCGCCCGACAATTCGCCGCGGGCTACCCCTGGCCCCCCTTCTCATTGGTTCCTCGGCGGGCTCACACTCCGTGTGCGTCACGCTGCGTGATCACCGCGGCGGAGCCAATCGGGTGCGGGAGGCCGCGCGTGGACAGAGCCTCCATTGGCAGGGCGGCCGCAGCTACCTGGGGAGAGGGCCAATGGCGCGGCACTGCCTCCACGTGCACAGCCTGTGGATAAACAGGCGGGGAAGGGGCGGGGCGGTGGCTGAGGGGAGGTGCGTTCGTGCTGTGCCTCGGCCCTTGTCATGGCGGCTGAGGGGCAGCTGGGGCGCCGCGGTCGTGCGGCCCGCGTTGGATTCGTTCTCAGCCTCTCCTCGCCGGCTGAGGATGTTAAACAGGGCCAAGCGGCGCGGTGCTGCCTTTCTCCCCCCCCCCCCTCCGGTTTGCCTGGCGTTACTTCAGGAGCGCCCTCAGCGGTGAGCGGGCTGTGGGGGTGCGGCCTGTCCTGGATCTCCCGGGCCCCGCTGTCACACCCACCGGTACCGAGTCGTTACGCACTTCGTAACCCAACCTGGTCAGAAGCTTGTTTCTACAGCCCTCTTCTTGTGATCATGTAGCTGATGGATATGCAGCGCTGACCACTGGTAGGCCCGAGCAGCATGGTGTAAGCCTGCCCATACAGATCCTCCATGGGTAATATTTGGAAGAGTTATCCACTGGAATTCGTGCAGAGTTCGCTGTTATTTTTACAAGTACAAGCTTAGGGAAACCCCCAGCGTCTATAGGAAGAGTGAGGAATGCACACATGTCACTAGGGGGGTACAGCCAGCTCTAGAAGCCCCAGGTCCAGCCAGAAGCCAATCTAACCCATGCTGCAACCTAAAAAGCTTTGCTTATACTGTACAGGTACTAAAATCAGTTTTGCTGTAGGAAGCGCCATGTTCTGCGATTGCCTGAGCTGGCTGTAGTGCATCCTCATGAAGGTGTGTGTGGTGAATGATCTTCGGTAGCAAAGGAGTCATTTCCCGGCCCAAGTCACCTGCTAGCTGCACCTTCCTGCATTCCTCCATCCCTCTGGAGCTCTGGAAAACACCAGCCTGCTGATCCCCGGCTGACTCAGGCAATTAGTAAAATTAGCAGAAATGGCTTCCAGAGTCAGAGCCTTGGCTTTTAAATAACTGACAAGAGAACGTCAGGCTTCCTCCGAATCCCTGCATGCCTTTGTGATACACTGCCCTGTGAAACACGGGCTCAGTTACTTCTGTGAAGAACTTGTCCTTGCCGAGAGCCAGGTAGGCCTTTTGAACACCTTTTGTTTGCTATGAGTTAATGCACTTTTCGGTGTTAATCAGTAATAACGTGGAGAGAAGTAATGTCATTACAGATGGGGTGAATTCGTAGGCTTTGTTTGGACTTTCGGTCATGGGTTCCCTGTTATAGTGAAGAATTATGTAACTAAAGAAAGCCGTTGTTTGAAGATTTAAAGAATTTTTGGATACTGGTATCCTTTTGTGCTTTTTGAAAGAGTTTTTTTAGACACTGCAAACCTTACATTACAGTTGGGAGTTGTGGTATATAAAATCATAGAATGGTTAGGGTTGGAAAGGCACTTAAGATTGTGCAATCTTATTTTATAGTTTAATTAAACCAGTACAGTTTGATGGCCTAGTTTTGCATAAATCTTTTCCTCATTTCCAGTTTTTTACATTAGCAAGTGTCAGGTTAGTTTTGTAGTCAGCAGAACATGCTTGGAGGTGCTTACTGGATATTTGCTTGTTTGCTAGATTTGCTTAGGTGCAATGTGTGTATGCAATTTCTTGCAGCTGATTTTGGAAGTATGATAAAGAGGGGAAAAAAACCCCAAACAAGACCAAACCAAACAACAAAATCCCATCCCTCCTTTTTTTGCTGTATGAATTAGATCCTGTATAAAAGTAATTGATTCTTTCCTGGTTTTATTTGACCATTCAGATGTTGCCTCCTGTTTATTCTTTGCAAGTGCAAATGAGGTAAATACGGAAATCAATAAACATGGGCAATTGCTTATGAAACAAAACATTATAGAGAATTAGTAAGAGTTGGGAGGCTTGAACAACTTGAACAATTAGCCTGTAGAGGACACAGTTAATAGGAACCCTGGGTCACAATCAGGTGGTACTTGTTTCAGGTGATTGTTCGCTCTTTAAAAGACTTTTTTTCAGCAGGATTCAAAGACCAGCACTTGTAGTTGTCAGGGATTGGTTTTCTCATCCACCTCTGAGAATATTTCTTGTGCATGAGGCATTTTAACTGACCAAGGCAGTAAAGTTGTAGCAGGAATGGTGGAAACTATCGCTATTTTAGTCTGTAACAAGCTGGAAGAAAAGAACAGGAGGTGAACACTCAGCTACAATGTGTGTGTGTGTGATGGGGTAGTTGTGTGTAGGTGTATGTGTGAAAGAGGAAGAGATACATTGACATGCTCAGTTGTATTTTTATTTTACTTACTTGCTACTTAATTCGGGACTGTATAAGAAAGAGCTGCCTGAAGAAGTTAATTAATACACAAGTTAGCCTGTAAGAGTAAAGAATACATAAAGAAGGGTCTCACTTGAGAGCATCCACAAATCTGTGAACAGCCATAATTACAGTCTTGAAGGTGAAGGAATCAGGAGAACATCTCCCTACAGCACCTGGTAATGTCCTGGCTCTGCTGGTTAATTTGTAAATGGCTGCTGGGGTGAGTTCGCTGAATTTAGATGGATCTGACAGTGTAAGTTTCTACATGTAAGTTTCTACATTTTTTTTAACTCATTTCAGTGCACATATTGAAAATAGGCTAACAGGTCTTGAACCTGCCAGAAGTGTTTTAAAAGTTAGCATATAGGTTCCAAGTTTCCACAGCAGGAAGGACCTGATACATAAATAACCATGTTTGAGGAACATGCAAGATACCAAGGTGTCTTAGCAACAGTGATCTCTGCCAAGGTCGTCTCTGTTTTTCAGGAATCCCAGCGGTGACTGGGAAGGAAGTGAAAAACTTGATCAGTATTTGCTGTCTTCCTCCTGCTTGAAGAGAACTGAGAGAGCTCTTAATCATGAGTCAGGCACCAGCACGAGGAGTTTGCCAACTAAGCCTTTCTGATCTTAAATCAATAGACTGTCAGTTTAGCGTGAACAGCTATTTCCGCTGCTGGAGGAGGACTTTGAGAAGTGTTTATGAGAGCTGCTAACAGCTAATTTACAAACTGGGTTTTATATTTGAGATTGCTGTACTATAACATCCGTTCAAGTGTCTTATCAAGTACCAAACACAACAGGCAAAAAAACAGTGACTGAGTTCAGTGGCGGAGCCATGAGATAGACTCTGCTCGGCAGTGAACAGCGTGTAAGCTCCATCGTGACCTTCCCTCTGCACAGTAGGGAGGGTTTGCCCATGTACCTTATACTTTAGCTGCAAATAGTTTCAACTACTTCATGTTACAAAGCGGTTGGGTGAGAGCAATGTTTACCTTGAAAACCCTGAGGGACTCTTAAGTTCCCTCACAATATAAGACCTTTTTTTCCCAGATATTCAGAAATCCTTTTTCTGGGTTTGTTTGTGGAATCAGGACAGGGAGGGATGTGAGATGATTCCTTTCTTCCCTATTTCCTGCCCTTTTATTGGTGCTGTCCTGAAAAAGCAGCCCTGGAGCGGGCTGTGAATTCTCCCTGGTGCTCCCAGTCAGCACAAGAAGGCAGCAAATGGCTATTGGTGACACTTGCTGTCACGTACACTCTTTTATTGCTTTTATTCTATTACCAGTAATTGAAAGGTCAGCCAAATTTTTCTTAGACAATTAAGTGACATTTACAGATAGGAGCTCTCAGGGAGCCAGAGGTGCTTTTCCAAGGGCTGCTGCAAACACGGTGCCCAGCTAGTCTGATGTGTCACTACTCCCAGTGTGTAAAACACCAGTAAGCAAATTTTTAAGATTCATGCTGTATGTGGTACATTGAGAAACACAAATATGAGATACAGGCCCAGGGATCTAAAGGCACAGGTTTTATCTGGGCAGGTGTTTGTTCACACAGCCCACCAGACAAAACACCTTCGTTTTGAAGGTCAGAAGACCAATCTTGTTATAAGGTTATGTCTGGAAATGGAAAACCACAAATGACAGTGGGATAGCTGATGTAGGAAATCTGAGGCAGAAGAAGGACAGAGGAGGAGTAGGTTGCACAAGGTTGATGACTGAGGCCCAAACTGTCAAGGCTCATGCACTGAGTTCTTGGTTCTTACAGCTGCCTACTACCCTATCCTTACCTTCCAAGGGGTGGGAAAAGTGTGTCTCATCCCTGTGTTGAGAGGCTGGGATGGAGGAAAAGGTAGTGGTGCAAACTGCAGGGGATTCTGTCTGCTTTCAGGAGCTGCACAGTGCCAGGACCTTCCCCCTCACCTCCAGATGGACACTCTTGTGAGGCGGTGGCAGCAAGCCTGCCCACAGGACAAGGGTCCCCCCACCAGATCCTAGACCAACACACTGGGATTGCATCCTGGTATCTGATGGACAATCATGTTGTTTCATGCACCAGTAAAGAAAACACTAGAGAGGTGTTGTTTGCTTAAATATTTATATAGTGAATGAGATTGCAGAATCTCTTTCTGCTCACATAAAAGTGGTCCAAATCAGTGCTCAGTTGGGCATCAGAGAACTGCTTCAGGGTGGCTTTGGATGTTTACAGCTATTGCAGGCTCTGCAAGGAGCGTGAGTAGAGAAAAATGGATGTGGTTAGAACATTGCTTCATCCTGGTGTCCCCTGAGGACAGAAAGATTTATCGGGGTTAGTGGTGCCTGCACGATTGGAGTGGCCTTCTGGAAGTGCTGCTGTGGAGGAAGAGCTTCCTACAATTGTAACGTGTACCCCTCTGCATTTCAGTGAGTGACTTCAAAGCAAGGTGGTCAGAAATACTCCTATAAATATCTGACACAGAGGGAGGATACAGATTTCTGTTGTTGAATCAACTCTGAAACAGAGGCTGCATTATTCATGTGTGGATCGTGGTTTGGTGTTCCAGCTCAAGGGAATGAATAGCCAGAAAGGGAAAGGGGAATTAGCAAATTCATTTGGGTTCTTAGTTATGTGCTGCTTTAGCTGGTTCTTGCTATGGGCTGTAATTTGAGGGTTTTGAGGGCTTTGTAAAGTGCCTTTTTGTTAATTTAAACTGAAAAATTTTGAACTTGGGATGAACCTGAATCTCATACCAGAAAATCTCACACTGAAGGGAAGTGCATGCCTGGATCTGAACACAACTTTTTGTAGAGCATTCCTGTAAACAGGAATGTGTGCCTTGTGGCCTTACCAGTTCACACCAAGCAAGTATTATCTCTGAGAAAATACGGATGGCACATCCAGAATCCTTGTGAAGATAGTTCCAAAAGTTGTAAACATATTTGCTGGACAGCATCTAGTTGTAGCAGTCACCCTTGTGGCTGTTTGGCTCTTGACATGGCCCAACAATGCCGTTAGCAGATGGAGAGGTGCTCCACATGGAGCTTTGTTTTTCACACCACCACTTCTGATGGCTGCTGTTGTTGCCTGGGCTTGAGAAAGGTATTACTTCAGCCGAAAGTGGAGGTAGTAGAATGCTTTATGCCAAAAGGGAATACAGGGTAAGAGTTATGATGGATGGAATGTGGAGTCAGCAGCCTGAGCTAACATGAGTGACTTGTAGGACCTGAAGCAGGTTGGATCGCAGCTGAGCTCTGTGGATGGGAACACATAATTTGACTTAAAACAGTGATATTTGGCTTTTACTGCTATTTCAGCATGATTTGGAATACAAACAGAGTATGTCCTTAAAAATGTGTTTGTGTTGTGAGATGCTTCCACTTGATGTCAGGTTGTTAGGTGTTATAAGAGAAAGGCTGATGTTAAGGAAGTTGTACAAATCCATTCAGATAGTCAACCTCCTATGGAGTAGCCACATGCTCCATGACGTGGAACCTCTTCCCTCATAACTCTGAGGGAGGGTTTGGAGTTTTGTAGTACCTGCCCAGAGTTAAGTCCACCTCCTCAAGTTAACCTGATATCACAAGCTTTCCTAAGTTTTCCTTGCATGCTTTTGCTTAAGCTTAAAGGCCAAGCCAGTATTTCAGGCATCATGTAACTGCAGTGCGTAGTACAGAGAGGAACAAATGAAAGCAGGGCACCGTCACTGATAAGGTGTGGGGAGGTGGGGTCTCCTCACATGCTGCTGTAAGAAATCAACTCTGGATGGCAGAAGGTGCCAAAAAAAGCAAATATACCCCAAAATAAGCCAGCTCCTTAC